AGGTGACAAGAACTGTTTCATGTGCTCCAAAACATCACTTTAAATGTCATTTGTTCTCAGGCACTTAATCTCAATTTCACTTCAGTCATCTTCAATCACCTCCAGGGTGCAGTGACTGTAGCTGTTGCAAATTAAGAAATAAGTCATCTGAACACTCAGCTCTGTTCTAGAGGGAAGCTTGATATTTGCTCAACAGCATCAGAAATGCTAGATATTCTGTATTATTATGTTGAAAGACAAGTGTAATTTAAAAATTAAAATAATGTGACAAAGTAATAAATCTTGGTATTCATGCTAAAACTGTAGTTACTCTGTGGAGGGTACTACATGTCAAGGATCCAACAGATTTCTAGAAACATCTTAGTTTCCACCTCCTTCCCATCACATGACCCATGACCTGCATGCATGCAATACCACCTAGTTAGTTCTCACATAGAACATGGATCATTAATCAGAAAGAGAAGAAAAAATCAAGAAAAACTTTGAGTCACATCAAGAAGCCTTAAATGAATAAACAGGAGATGTGTTGCATCATCAGTAGTTACAGCCAGAGAAGCAAACACATTAATTCCATTTTCATTTGATTGCAATGCCCTTTTAACATGTTATGCTACTTCTTTCCTGCTCCCTCTCAGTTATCTTATCAGCTAGGAACTGTAACACATACAATACTGCTCCAAGATTGTTTTGTGCTAACCTTCAGTTTGGCAGCCTGTCCAAAATGATTACTCCATCTCCACACGTAAGCCAAAGACCAAATTCAGACTTACAAGGACAAGTCAGTACAAACATTTGTCTCTGAAGTTGTAGAAGTCCAATTCTGGCAAAACAACAGCTGTGCTATTCTTTACACATTTGTTAAAGGCACAATGAATTGTTTCCTACCCTAAAGTCAGATTCTTAGCTTAAATGCCATAAAATTATTTAAAAGAAATCCCAGTGCATGGGAGTTCTTCAGTTTCAAAAGATGTACAATTAGAAGGCACAAGGCATATTGGTCTGTACTTAGGAGTTTATCCTCACATTGCTTTTTCACTGTAGCACTACTTATTACAAAGCAGGATTTAAAGTATTTGGATAAGGAAACCTTAAGGCATCCTGCTTAAACTTTTCCCATTTGGTAAACAGATTGCACATTGTTTACTCATGGACAGAATAACCCCCAGTCAAACACCAAGCTGTTTGTTCTATCTCATTACAGAATACTGTAGTCTTCAAATTCAGTGAATTCATTATCCTATAGAAAATGGAGTCCTGCTTCACAAGTTCTTGTACTGCACAGATCTCTACTAGGAGCCACCATCTTTAAAACAATACCAGCATCATTCAAAGCAAAGACTACACAGTCTATTCTTTTATTTTAATAGAGTAGAAAAAGAGCTTTAGGGAGGACTTAGGATTATGTTAAAGACATAATGCATAATGGAATTACTACCATCTCCCTTCCCAAAGTGAAAGTTTGTTTTCATGTTTAAGTACATTTAGGAGTTTATAGCTTCATTCTTAAATGCCCCCTCACCCAGTAATCAAACAGCACACAGTACTTGGAATACAAGGTGAATAATGGAATTCATGTCATACTCCACACTCATCCTGTTTGTTAGACTGGCAGAAGCACAAATGGGTTACTATGGGAGGAATGCTTTCATAATTAAGGTAATTTGTTTCTGAGGGGGAAAATACAAGTGGGAGTGTTCAGAACATACAATAAAACCTTAACTGTATAGAAAGCAAGTACTGAAATAATTTCATCTCTTCTAAAATTCAGAATTTTTTGCATCCATTTTTCTACATTGTTAAGTACCTGGAAGCCCTACAAAGAGCAAATTTTACAAGAGAGATGTGTCATGTATGTTTTCCAGATACAAAATGGAAAGTATTAATTTACATTTCTCTGGAGAGAGTTATGGCAGAACACTAGAAGCAAAACTGCATTTTCTGTTGTAAATTTATGTAAAGCAAAGCAAAATTCTGACAGACATGCCTTTTTCCTTTTCACCACAAAGATGGAAGCAGAGAGGTTTTTAATAATGCAAAATGCGAATGTGCAGATCTAAAGATCTTTGTTTTAGTAAATCTGATTAGTTGTACTGGTGTTTAACAGCTCCATCAGAAATCTCCAAAATAAGACTTCAAGGGTGTCTTCTGTGATGTTGAACAGACCTCACTTACCAGTGCTTCACAATCTCTTCTAACTGCATTACCATCATTGAAAAAAAGATAAAAACAGTACCAAAATCTCTCTTCTACTTTTTCATAACCCACCTAACAAATTTATTCAGAGAGTTTTCCACCTAAAATTAGCCTGTTCTTTTAAACAGCAACAGGCACAAATTCTGCAAGATGTAAAAGTAAGCCTAGTGTAATTTTACTTAATTTTAAAATGAATTTTATTTCTACTTAGTTTCCTATTCCCTGTTCTATATTCAGAATATCCTCTGTTCTGTAAAAGTGAGTAACAGCAAGATGCAAAAAGAGCAGTCCATATAAAAAAATTCTTTTTTAAAGGTCAGCATACTTCAGCAACACATTGCAGAAGGTTGTCTGTTCCCATCCTTACAAGAATTCCATGAGCACTTTATGCATGAGCAGCATGCCAGAAAAGCCCATCTCCATTGTCAAGGCAAAAATCTTTGGTACGTAGGAAGGCTGTCAAGGTTTTCCAAAACTCCTACCCTAATTTTAAGTCTCAAAGACTGACTGACAATGGCTTTAAACTTGTTTCAGGGTGCTTTCTAATGTTTTATAACCGAGGTTCTCATAACCATGCTCATCAGTTTTTAAACATGCACTGATTGTTTGGGTTGTGAGGAGTTTCACGAGACCTTGATAAGCACTCACTACCCTGTTTACACACAGCCGTGTGTCTCAGCCTCAGCAGCAGGAGGAGTATCCTTCAGAGTCCAGACATAAAGTACAGCACAACATTTAAAAAACATTCCTGCAAGGAATTTCTTCTTTGCATTTCAACTTGCCTATCACTTTATTTTCCTCCTTTTCCTTTTGGCAAGACTATTCGTTGCTTCCATTTAGGAAAAAGTGAGAATCCCCAGAAAGATTGTTGGGGGTATATTAACCAAACTTCCAAAATGCACTAAACCTCTAGAATGGAATACTGTTTCTTAAAAGCTGACAGCAGAGTCAACTGGTGACTATTTCATTCATTTTAATTAAAAGATGAAAGTAGAGAAACATCAAGAAGGCAAGAAGTCAGTTGTTATACATTGTGAAGTCTCTTTGTAGGTTTTCAACTCCTTGAACACTGACATAGTAAAAACATTACTGAATCATGTCTCCAAACTTTTCACTCTCTTCCCTGTGACAGCATACCGTAGTTTCAGGATCTTATTTCAACTGATTTGTTTGTATCCTAGAGCCAGGAAAACACTAATTTTGGGTGAAGAGTACCTAAATAGAGCTTGCAGTGAGCTATTTTATATAGCATACAATTAGAGAGACCTGGCCCCGTCTCAGAAAGAGTTTCTGCGGTCAGATACCTGATCTTAGCTTTCTCTGTGGTTCACAGTGCAGGAGCACCCACCAATCCCAAGAAGAAATGTATTTCAGTATAAAAGCAAAACGCGTAAGACCGGAGCAGGTTTGCAAGAAGCCACTTCACAGATCTGAGGTCGCATTTCAAAACAAACTCGGGATTAAGAACAAAAAGTAGAACTAAGTAACTTAAGAAAATACCAGTCATAAATGCCACTAAGCTCTTAAGGAAACTGCACATTCTTTCCGTATCATGCCTGTTAAAAGATGTTTAGGGCAATTATACTTGTATTCCTACGGCTCCTTTCTCATTTGTGAAATGAACAGCATTTAGTGTTTTAAGACACTTAAAACACTCTTGCATGTAGTGTTTTAAGACCTACTGATGGAATTACATACACAAGCTATACATATGTCTGAGATGTAGCGGAGTTATTTGATGTTTTAATAAGAAAACCTAAGGAGTTTCTAATAAGGAACCTGTAACTAATCGAGCATTGCTACGACTACAACTTCATCGACTGGAAGCCCTTACAAAGAGCTCAACAGGGCGCAATAGCGCATCCGACCCCGGCGCTTCCAGCACCAGCCCCGAACAAGGCACCTTCACATTCCGTGCAAGGTGCAACTTTTCGGAGAGCCGCTTCCCTCCTCCGGGCGGAGCGGGACCCCGGCACCATTCCGCTCGGCTGCCGCACCTCCTTCCCTCAGACAAAGACGGCCGCAGTCGCTCCCGGTGACAGCGACTCCGCGGCGGCGGGAAGCGCGGCCGTGCGGGGATCTCGGGCTCCGACGCTCCGAGCCCGGCACGACCGACGCGCCGTCCGCCGCCCCGCCGCCCCCGGCCCCCGAGCGCCCTTCCCGCCGCCCCGCCC